TTTCAAATATTTTCCCCTGTTGGTTATAAATAAATCAAATTGTTAACTTTTTCATACTTACCTTTTGTGTTGATTAAGGTTATTCTCTGTTGGTTTAATTCCCATGCTGTATAGGAATATTACTGTAGGAGTATAAACTTAGTTAATCTGGGTTACAGTAGCCAAATAGGGTAATAAGAGGAATATTAATATATAGTCGGGAGACACTGTCAGAACCCGGTGCTCCGCCCTATTAAAGGTTAAGGGTAGGGGGCGCTACATTCACATTAATTGAATGTGATTGATCAACACCATCTTTAAATTTGCAACATCTGTTGTAAATATATGTGTAGGCCTATGTTTAAATATATACATTTACTGTAATATGAAATATTGTTACTGAAAAGTGTTATAACATAAGCAAACATAATTAAAATTATTTATTTAGTTTTCCAACAAAGGCATGGCTTCTGCGGGGCATTGAAAATCATTCAAATTCATTAAATTACCTTTAATAAAAGTCATTCAGGACTTCCGTTCAAAAACTCGGGAAGTCTTAATTAATTTCAAACCATCTTTTGTATAATTAATTAATTTAAATTAATGTTTCTAATAGACACATTTATAACAGAACCTCAAGTAAACTACATGTTATTTTGTTTAGTCATATACAGGTAGGAGCTTTTTAAATTTATTACTCAGAACGACTTAAATTTTGCTACAAATATCCCACAGCGTCATGATGAAATTGCAATCCTAAGTGTTCTAGCTGTTAGTCTAAATGCATTTAGGACAAATAGCATTTAAATGATCATTTTACTACCGTTTCTGCATGCTTGAACATGTTACACATCAAATCAATTTGTGTTATGCATTTTCATTTCGCAACTTATAAAGCGTTCAAATGTGCATGCAATTTACATATTAAGACTACTGTTGGAAATGGCAAATGTAAATTATATAATTGAATTTTAATTTTCCTTTTGCAACAAACTTTGCACGTATGGGTAATGGAAAATGTAAATTTAAATACAGAAATACAATGCCATTTTGCATATTGCATTTTAAATTTAATTTCGCTACCTATATGCTTCCATACTAGAAAGCCATAGGAATACGGCTCAGTACGGTTCAGTACAGATTTATATTGCTGGAAAAAATACTTTCTCCATCTAGAATAATCTAGTCTTATTGACTGGCTTTACGAACTTTCTGAAAGTAAATAAGTTACCAATATGCATTGTAAGAAACTGAGTATGGATGGATGTATTAATGACATTTAATAAATCACTTCAAATGTTTGTTTTTTTATTAAATGTATTGATGTATTGGTCAAATAAGTATTTTTAGCAATTAATCAAAAGCTTCATTGTTTAAATAAATAATTTAATTGACAACAGGATCTCTGACTCTGTTGGTGACACTGCATTTAATGTGTAAGATAATATGGCTTCATTAGTAAATTTATTAAACACTATTAATACAGCAATTTGAACCACAGTGCTGAATCATATATGCAGATTTAGCACTTTGTTTTTGTCTTTTTAACTTCAGTGTTTTCTCACAGATGCTTCTGCTGGTGAAGGAATTGGGCCAGATATTCCTTTGAATATATTTAGTTTTTTTGTGCTTTATTTATTCATGCTTCAAATAATTGACTTAAAAACCTCATATACTACAGTATATATAAATGCCACAATATTTTCTATTTTAATTTTTTTATGTAAATCTGTCTCCTTGTCACCTGATCAGATGTGAATATGTTTTCTGATATGTGGTCAGAGTGAATCTGTTTTCATGAAGACTGCAGTACTAAATGCTCTTAGCACCAGTTTAATACTCTGTTTACGTAAAGTTTTTACAGATGATCTTGCTGTGTAAGCAATAGCATTTAATTAATATTATATTATTATAGTTATAATATGAAACATTCAAATTTTTCAGTTCACACTGTGGAAATAAAAACTTGTTTTGCAATGAATTGTGTTGTATGTTTGTATTCAGGCTATATGCTTACTTTATGGAGTTGAAGATTTTACTATATGAGTCTTGAGAGACTTTGCACTGGTTTATACTGAGTTAAAACTCTATGATTAGTCCACATTAGAATCAGGGTATCTTCCGTCCAATCAATTTTTGTTTTAATATTGAAATCTGAAAAATGAAAAACGGGCACATATTTCGTTTTTCAATTATTCAAACAAAACGAAAAATCAAGAGTCCGGATTAATTTTTCGTTTTTACATTCAGGGATAGAAAACGAATAAACAACTTGAATATTCGATCTCTACATGTGGGCGGGAATGAAACGCCCCTCTCTGCTAATTGGTCAACCAAACATTACAACATAATAATAGTCCTAAAAAAACCTTAATAATAGTCCTCCGCTTCTATTGATTCTTAACATGTTTATTTCTACTACATTTTATCTCTTCATCAAACAGCCAGATTAATGAATGGCTTGACACAAACCATACTGAAGCAGAGCCTTTTGGCCCTAGGCATGCCTATTTTATTATAGTTATCCACCCATTAAAATCTGTGATGAATGTAAAAACGAAAAATTAAGCCGGATTCTTGATTTTTCGTTTTGTTTGAATAATTGAAAAACGAAATATGTGCCGTTTTTCATTTTTCAGATTTCAGTATTAAAACAAAAATTGATTGGACGGAAGATACCCTGATTCATTAGTTATGGCTGATGTATATTTCTCTCAGTTAGGTCAGGCTAAAAAATACCACACGATTCTCTCTCTCTCTCTCTCTCTCTCTGTGTGTGTGTATGTGATAATATACAATACTTTTGTATTGTAAACTTTTCAAAAATTACTTTTGCCACAAAAATAAAAACACATTCCAAGTAATACAGTAATTATTAGGGCTGGGCAAAAAAAATTCGATTTTTCGATATATCGTTTTTTAAAATGTGGTCGATTCAATATCGATTCTCAAAGGCCACGAATCGATTTTTTTCAATATTTATTTCCGCAAACATTGAACATAAGATTTACGTTAATCTTATTACTAGTCTAATCCACTAGATGTCACCCCCTTATTTGCCTTGCGCGATGTTACAACGGAGAGTCCGTCATTCATTCATTGCTTAAAATGGTGGATCCAGGGCTCTACAGTGCGACTGAAAACTACTGCGTGCGACTATGAAAATGTTTTTAGGAGCAGCAGTGCGACTGACCCGATTATCATCTCAGGGGAGCTTCAAATGTTTCTACGTGTTTTTGCAGCGTCGAGTAATGTATCACAGACATATCTCACGAATCCTTTCATAAGCAAAGTGAGAGATTCATTGTGCAGTGTAGAGAGCTTCGTTGATTATAGATGTGAGATCGAAATTAACTAAGATGACTGCCAGCTTTTAATGATTTTTAAAAGAATTTGTAAATGTGATACTGATTTAATACAATTCAATAAACAAGAAGTTAATATTAAGTGACTTACATTGTCTGACTATAACACTATTGTCTGATTTGGCTCTATTTCGTCGTCGAAAATAGTTTATAACAAAGACACAGCGGAGCTGCTGCGTATCTCCATTCAAACACAGCAGTGTTTCGTTATGAATGAACTGCGTTTTTTAACGAATCTAGTGGTCAGTGATTCATGATTACCCATTCATAAAGACAGTCACTTGCTTCATTCCTGAATGAATCAGCCATTCGTATGAATCAATTGAATGAATGATTCAGTGATAAAATCAGTGACTTACCGCCACCTGCTGTCAGTTTGTTTCATTTTAAAAGTATCTTTTCAGTTTTTTAAATAATTTAATATTTCTATATTCAAAATTTTATATTTAAAACATTAATATCATCATGAATTTATGGATTTAATTGCACTCTTTAATTTATTAAAGTTTTAATAAAGCCTTCACATAAAAAGTCAGAGGTATGGAAGCATTTTAGATTTCGCAAGCACGATGACAAAGATACTGTGGACAAGAACAAAGCTATATGCCAAATAGTTGATGGGCCCTATTGACTTGACTTAATTAACCATTTGTAATCTTATGTTCACTGTTCATTTTTTATAAATGTAGGATTTGTATTGAATCTATATTCATTCATATAGTCAAATCGAATCGAGAATTGAAATAAAAAATCGAATCGAATCGAAAATCGAATCGAATTGAGAGCTTGAAAATCGAAATCGAATCGAAACATCTGAATCGATACCCAGCCCTAGTAATTATTATAAAAGGAACAAACAACTAGCAATAAAAATGATAAAAAAATATAAGAATGTAAATATAAGGGGATCTAAATCAAATAAAACGTAGACTCTAACTGACCTATGGGTATGCAGATGCAAGGAAATGTTCAAGTAAAGGGCCACACATTTTTGAAATTCATTCATTATCAATTATTGGACAAATAGCCACAATCAAAATGATGGTATTATCAATAATAAATTATCTTTTCACAATGATCCCAATACAATCTTCCAAAAAAATGGTTTAATGCACTTGAGAGCATAATAAACAATTTCTACTGGAAAAATCTGAATCCAAGAATTGCACTAAGAACATTACAAAAAACTAAAGAGCAAGGACGATTATCAGCTCCTAATGTTCTATATTATTATTTAGCAGCTCAGTTGCATCATTTAACCAAATAGATCAATAATAATCACTTTCAAAATCCATGGTTACAACTTGAACAATTAGCATGCAAGCAAATTCCAATTTCTGACTTACCTCGCTTTAATAATATCATTAAAAAGCATAGCCTATATCTAAAAACCGCAATCGAGACAACACTAACAGCCTGGTGAAAAACTAATAAAATAACTGGTTATTTTCTTTAACTACATATTTTGTCAGGTCAGGCTAAAAAAATACCTCTCTCTCTCTGTGTGTGTGTGATAGTGTACAATAAACTTTTCAAAAAGGACTTTTTATTAATGCCACAAAATAAAAAAAATTAATTAAAAAAATCACATTACAAACAGTAAAACAGTGTAAAATCCAGATGCAGTTATTGTGGTAAATACATTATTTCTGAGAAAACAGATTGAAAGAGAGTTTGATCATTGTTCTGTGGAGAAACATGTGTAAATCACTTCCGTCATTTCAGATTCCTGTAAGACAACACAATACAAAAAGTCAAAGGAGAAAAACAAACCTGATGTTTCAGATAAAAAACATTCAGGAGTTTAATAAAAGTTAACACATTAATAATGGCTATTATTGGCTTGAGACAATATGACGCTTTTGGTAAGTGACAGATGCTCACTGGTTTTGGGGGCATTAAGGGAATTTTTATAGCGTAGTGAACTAAAGCGGTTTGAATGGCTACATATTTTTAAAAAGTAAAAAAAAAAAATTATATTAGATAGTCATTTTACATATAATGGCATTTATCAGACATTTATTAACAACATCATGTCACTCAGCATGATTTTCAATCTAATGCATTTCAATAGGGAGTGACTTTCGTGCCTGCACCACGGTTTTTTTTTCTGTTCATATAACGACATCGCATGACTTCAGAAGATTTTGAATGCAACACGAGATGTTTGTAATACTTTATACTGTTTGTGGTCAATTTTTGCAATAACGTGTGTCTGTACGTACGTATGTGTTGCTTGTGTTTTATATAATTGAGAAGTGGGTAGGTTTAGGTTTAGTGTAAGGAGTGGAGCTAGGTGCTCCAAAATAAATAAATAAATATAAAATCATTTCTAGTTTTACAAATGCGAAGATTTAAACACTAAAGGGGTTATTTGTGTCCATGAGCATGAATCAATAGATAAAAATTTCATGACTATGTCACGAAATGCTGTGAGACTGGGTTGGGACTGGAGTGATATGCTCAGATTTTCTGGTTCTAGTCAGAATCCTGGCAGCAGCATTCTGGATGAGCTGCAGCTGTCTAATGCTCTTCTTGGGAAGGCCAGTGAGGAGACCATTACAATAGTCCACCCTGCTGGTGATAAAGGCATGAACAAGTTTCTCCAAGTCTTGACTGGAAACAAAACATCTAATTATTGCAATGTTGAGAGGATAGTATGCTGATTTACTTACTGCTTTGACATGAAAACTGAAACTAAGGTCTGTCTCCAGAATCACACCAAGATTCTTGACTTGATTTTTAGTTGTTTGACCCCCTAGAGTCAAGGTATGCATTCACCTTGAGAACTTCATCTTTGTTTCCAAATGCAATGACTTCAGTTTTCTCCTTGTTTAACTGACGAAAGTTCTGGCACATCCAACTGCTAATTTAATCAATGCATTGGCACAGGGAGTCAATGGGGCTGTAGTCAATTGGTGATAAGGCTAGGTAAACCTGGGTATCATCTGCATAGCTGTGATAGGCAATTTGGTTCTTTCTCATTATTTGACTCAATGGGAGCATATACAGGCTGAACAAGAGCGGTGCAAGAATTGAGCCTTGAGGGACTCCGCATGTCATGGATGTCCACTTAGACTTATGCTCTCCTATACTCACATAATAACCTCTCCCTTCTAAGTATGACCTGAACCATTTGAGGACCATTCCAGAAAGTCCAGTCTCTCTAGAAGTATGTTATGATCAAGCAGTGTGAAACGCAGAGATATTTTGGCAGAATCAGAATTTAAGCAAATATCATATATTATCTTTATGGTCGCTGTCTCTGTGTTGTGTTGTGATCGGAAAAAATTGGCAAAGGGACTGATTGAAAGGTTTTTAAAATAAACATGTGTAGTTTATGTGTATAGGCATATTGGTATTAGCTAATAGTGATGCCACTTTTTCTCTTTATTTATCGATTTATTTAGAAGTATCCTGAAGAAATTCAATTAAATATTCTTTAAATATTCACATATTATTATTATTATTTTATTTTTGGTTACTCTGCTGAAAAAAATCTTAAATCAACCTGAAGTCATTAGTTGGTCAAAACACTGAACATCATCTTAACATGACACACTGGCATAAATCAGCCAGACCAGCAAAACCATCATTATTTTTTTTCAGCAGGGTGTAGCTTATTGGTTTAACATAAATCAACCGAATAATAAAATAAAATGTCATGATGATGTACAGTTGTGGCATCATCTCAAACAGAGATGCTAAACTAATATATAGCAGCTTGAGGAAATAACATCAAGCATCTGTTTCAAATATAACACCGATTTTCTTTTTTTCTTTTTTCCCGGAAGTCCACAGTTTCCTGCGGAACTATTTAACAGTATCTGTTTCAGTCAGAAACATCCTGAGCTATAACGTTTTTACCAGAAAAGAGTATGAACCGTTATTTTGTACTTAAGAAATAACACACTTGTGCTGTTCTCTCTTACACTTGTACCTAAATTATAACCCATAGTTTTTCTTTTCAAATGGCTACACACTGTATAAACTGTGTAACACACCTATATGAATGCTGCAAAATGCTCAGCTAAATTAAGTTCTGCTGTCTTCTATGAGGAAATTCAGCTGAGCATTTTGCAGCATTCATGTTTTGTTAGTGTATAGTTTATCACTTATATTTGTGATTGTCTGTACAGTTGTTTACAGTTTTTTTAATTGCTTTGGTGCAATTTTCACTAGCAAGTGTTAGATTTTCAAAATTCTTAGAATTAATATCACAACAGTTAATCAAATGTGCACTTTTTTTCAAAACATTTCAGCATGTTTTCAGTTGTTTTAGTATAATACACAAATTCATTTTTACTACCAAAGTAAGTATTTTATCAAACAGCGCATGGCGCTGCTGCCTACGTCAACACGGACATGCGTCAGCATGCACATGCATTGTTTACAAGAAGCGGAAGTGCACGCATGCGTTGTGATATACTGGATGAGTATAGATTGGATGAGGAGAAGAATTGTTGAATAAAGTCATTATTTTTGTTTTCTTTGCACACAAAAAGTATTGTCGTGCGTGCAGTTAGTTTCGTTTATGCGTTGGCCTATGTTGATGTGTTGGAGGAATGGGCCACGACCAGATGATCTTCTCCGTAGAGTTTACTTAACTTCTTGAACAGCGTAGTTACACCGTTCACTCACCAACAGTACAATTGGCATAAACACACATTCTGTATGTCACTGTTCTCGCTGATCGGTGCTCTTGCACAGAACGGCAGCTTTCCCGACCGTGCGATGAGCATGCGAGCAACCTCTACAAAAGACTCTACGTACACACATAACTCAGCGCATATTCTCTGACTGATGTAACTAAACAGGCAATAGGAATAAGAACAGAATAAACATAGTGAATGGGCTTAAAGGGACCATGCTCTCTTTACTACAGTATTCTTGTAGCTTTGTAAAATTACGGTTGAACCACTGATGTCACATGAGCTATTTTACTGATGTCCTTGCTACGTTTCTGGACCTTGATCGTGGTAGTACACTTGCTGTCTATGGGAGGGTCAAAGAGCTCTCGGATTTCATCAAAAATATCTTAATTTGTATTCCGAATATGAACGAAGGTATTACGGGTTTGGAACGACATTAGGGTGAGTAATTAATGACATCATTTTCATTTTGTGAACATACAAGGGAGAGGAAACAGCCAGTGACTGTATGACATCAGACTGATCATACATTTACACAGTGGCGGCTCGTCGGGGGAGACACAGCTACCCCAAAATTTTGAGGTGAAAATGGGAGGAGGACGATTAATGTTAATAAAATTCACAATTAATTTCAGTTAATGTCTCAGAATGTGTATTTTTTGTTTGTAATTTCACAGTTGTAATATCATACCATGTTACTGAAGTTGGAAAGCGCCGCTTTTCTATCGCGAATGTGCCGAATCTGCTAATGTAATTACAACTGCTAAATGATAGAGAAGGGGAGGGGGAGGCCGGGGGACAAAAAAAATTAGCCAATCAGCATTGAGTGTTCACTTTCAGCGCTGAGGAGTGTTGAGAAAAGAAACCTTGCAGAGGAGGCTAGCCTCCCTTCTTGTATATCAACCAATCATCATAGAGACGTAAATTACGTGCTATTAGTTTGAACGTCTCCAGCTGAGCTGATAATGTGCCAAGTACTTATGACAAGTAGTGATATTGAATATTTGGTCGCCAACAGATTTACCAAGCTGTCATTCAAACAGTATACTGTATATACAAATTAAAAATAAAGGGAGAACACGCCTAAGCTGGATATAGGCTAATGTTTCAGCAGTGGGCTCTTTTAACACAGACTTTTAAGAAGGGACGGATGTTTGCTTCAAGTGATAGGTCAGGTAAGTGAAGTTATATTATCTTGCTGTATGTGTGTCGTTTTCTTTATATGTTCTGACTAAAAGCAACCACAATTCAATCATAGATTCTAGCATAACACCTCATATCCATGTCATACTTAATCACACATTTTGATAACACATTGAATAGATACAAAATTACGTCTTTTATGTCATTTACCATTTTTTAAATAATTGCTAGGACACATTTCTCAAGACTTAGGTCTTTTTCAAACTTCTTCACATAGCTCTCCTAACCAACTTTCATCTTGGCACAGCAATTGATTTCACATTCAAAATGCATTAAAACTACCAAAACACTTCATGCACGTCTCAAATCAAGCCAATCTTCCATAACACTAGCAAAGATTGTCAAACAACAAGCACACTTTCTCAATCATAAAACAATGACCTAAAAAAAACTAACAACAGATAGCATTATACAATGTTTTCTTTAGTAAAATTTCATTACAATACAAGAATGATGATCTCTTTTGTTTAGAATTCACTGCAGTAAATGTTATATGGTCCATGTTTACATTACAGTACAAAATTATCTCTATTTGTCACCTTTTGTATAGATGGTAATGTAATTGAAAGCCTAATAATGCCTGTGTAGTTGTTCAGGTAAATCTAATTGATTTGATAGTATTTCAGTTTTTAGATGCAGAATATGTTTCATTATGAAATGGGTACTTCCAGTCATTGATTCTGATTGGTCAACAGCTGTGTTTTATTGACGATAAAGCACGGCTATAACCGCTTCACCCAAAGGTTCTGTTTATCACTGTGCAACACCCTTAGCAACATAGACAAAAATATAGCGTCAAAACTTTTTCATGTATTATGAATTTCAGCAAGAAATAACTGTTTATTATTATCTATTGAATTATGAGTGACCCCTGCTAGCATTACGTTGCGTCATTCACCTTTAATTTTGAGGCCACATCCTTCCTGCTGTCAAAAAAGGTTTCTTATATGGGATATATGTTGATGTGTGCACATGTCTGTGTGGAAGCCCACGTGAGGTCCATGTGGGCCCACTGCGGGCTGAAAATGTAGCCCGTGTGGGCAGCCTGCTGTGGGCCCCAGTACCAGTGTGAAATGCGGGCCATGTATGGGCCCCATACGTGGGACCCCAGTGGATCAACCCAGAGTGTGGGTTTACTGTGGGCCGGCCTACACAAAGCAGAGTGGGCCAGTTGTTGGCCCACTGGGCAAAGTGTGGGGAAAGTATGGGCATAATTTGGAAACACTGGGCAAAGTGTTGCCACACTAGGGCACAGTGTCTAGGACAAAAGTATGCCTATGCAGTGAGTGTGATTTGCTGGTTCTGAAAAATAACAGTTAGTTTGGTACTATTAAGTAGTGTCCTAGGCAAAAATGTAGGGCCCCAATAGACCTCACAGTATGCCCACACTTTGGAGGAAATGTGGGCATAAACCTGTGTAGGGCCATTGTGGCCTTAGCAAATAACAAAATTAGTTTGCTTCTACTTTGTACCTGCAGAATACTACACGCTAAAATATATAGATTGAAATGAATATATATTTACAGTTTTTTTTTTTTCAATTGCTAACAAGGGTTTACCAATCATACATTTTCATAATGCATGTACATACATAATTTTCTGGCCAAAACCAAATTTTGTTAAATAAATATAAACTCTAGATTTCAAAATGCTGAATACCTTTTTCTAGATATACTAACTCTATTAAAACACTGCAAACCTGATTCAAAATTGAGTCATTCGGTCAAAACATTAGCACTAGTTTCTATCAAATAGACATAGCACAGTGACTGTCAAAATACTAACAGTTAATGACTTTACAAAAACTGCATTACTTGTCATGTGTCAGTTCTTCCTGCATATAATAGACAATATAAAAATCCATAGTTTTTGTAATTTAGCCTTCAGTTTACCTTCAACTGAAACCCATTTTACATTAAGTGTTGAATGTGTTCATTCTTGGCAACATACAATCTAAAACTGAATGAGTCATTACTTTGTAGAATGTACAATAGAACAATTATGGTCCCCTATGCAGAAATTCAATTGGAACCTTGATTGAAATTGCTTCCAGTGGGTGGGGGTTGGATGTGGATGGTGACCCCATGGTAGCTGATGCCAGTGACAAAAATTCCAACATACATGGCCTTTGGTTACTATGCAAGCTTGTTTCCATCACAGAATAAAAAAGTAAAAACAGTAATTGTGACCTTTTTATCGCACAATTCAGACTTCTGTTATTGGAGTTTACATCTTGCAATTCCGACTTTATCAGAATTGTGAGATAAAGTCGCAATTACCCTTTATTTTTTATATTCTATGGCAGAAATAAGTTTTCATAGGTTCCACATGTGTAAGGGGAAAAAACTAACAAACATAAAACATGCACAGTCCAACACACATTCTCACTCCTCTCCTCTACCTCTTCTCCCTTTTTCTGATCCAACTACTTCTCTACCTCTTACAACTATTCCTCTCCCAGGCATTATTTTTCTCTCTCTCTAATTCTGTGTTGTTCTCACATTCAAATTGTTCATCCACGAAACCAATTCAAAGAGGTCTTTTTACTCTATGTTGTTGATGTAATGGAAAGAGCTTCAACACCTGACTATTCCTCCAACTGAGACTGGAATCAGCTATTTCTAAATATTTCAGTGATCTGTTACTTAAAAATGCTTATCAGTTGTTAAAATATTTTATATAGAGAGATTTCTTTCAATACTTTTGAGCTACTGTTGTAGCAGAAGTAGAAGCTTTATACTATATTTACGGTTTGGAACATTAGGTCTTCATTTCTGACATGCTGGGTTTCATTTGTAAATAAGACTAAAAAGATCCATGATTTTGGTTTTGGGTAAGTTTGTATGAAAAGAAAATGTAAGCATTTTAGAAACATGGTAATTGACTGAAAATTGTGTGAAAACAACACAAATTGTGTTAATGGTATGGTCACAACAGACGGATGTTGTGCTAATTGTGTTTAGAGTTTTGAAAATGTGACTACAGATTGGACAAAGGCCAAAGGGATGTTAGCAATTGAAAAAAAAAACTGTAAATGGAATAGAAGATATAGGTTGTACTGCATGTTAGCTTGCTTATTGTGCCCAAGAGCATAATGTATACATGTCTTACTAACAAGTACATATGCTTCTAACCACAGGTAGAGAGCTGTTCGTGGCTCCAACCCGTAAGTTTGCGATGCTGTTTTCGACTATTCGTTTGAACTATGGATTCAGGAAACACTGAATTGTTGAACTATGTTGATAACGACGATAATGGTTTTACTACACTAACCGTAGTTTAACCATGGTATTTGCAGTAAAACTGTGGTTATACGAATGGTAATCAATATAAATAAATAAATGAATAACATGGTTACTTCACTTTTGCTACAATAAAACCATGGTTAATTTTCATAAAGGGCTTAAAAATGCTTTAGGGAAACACACCCCTGACTGAGTGTTTCTGCTATCTCTGTCTCTTTTTCTCACATTCAAATTAGCAGAACTATCTTCAGCTTTTAGTCTTACAGGAAACTCAAGCATTCAACAGGGTTTATTTCTGCAGAATCACCCTGAGGCCACATGAACAGTTTTTACAGTTATTGTGAGGTGTCAAGATCTAATCTGAACTTTTTCTAATTTAAATATTTTTTTTTATTATAATGTGTTGTGTTTTTACTGTAAAATTGGTTTACTTGTTTTTTTTTATGTTACTGTGCAATATACAGTGAAAAATTTTAATGGTTTGACATTGCATTATATGTAATAATTGAAGTAGATGGGTCTATTAATTTTGTATCATGTAATGAAATACACATTTATACAGTATAGTATATAATATAGGCAAAGAGTATAGAAGACCAAGAGGCGAAACTCTGATGCTTTTTGGGTAACAGCCACTTACCAGCACAGATATACAGAAATAGATAGTATAACAACGAATGAGAGGTCAAAGTGGAATAAAAGAACGCAATGTTGGGCAATCCACTGCAAAAACTATCAGTGTGACAGTAAAAATATTTCCTTTCATCGTTTTCCCAAAGACCCTGACAGGTAATTATTCACAAAAGTGTAAAATATTGTGTGTTTTGAAGTGGGGGCGTAGCGCTGTCTTATGCACCTGCTAACTTGAACTGTTTTTAGTCTAGTAGTAAACTTAAATCCTTGTAGGAACTTCAGGTCCTAGCCATAGAAACCATAATAATGATTTATATGGCTAAGGAATGATGCAACTTTACACATTTACAGTTACTTACTATATTATTATTTACTATTACTCCACTAGGTCTGAAATATTGTACGTTTTAATCCCCTGGAATACACTACAAACATGATGATCTAGACTAGAACATGATGCATCTCTGTCATAACTAAATAATTAAACAATTTTGGAGAAAGTGGCTGTACGTGTGTGTTTTTTTTTGTTTACAGTCTTCCTTTAACAGACATTAATATAAGACAATACTGCAAAAACAGTTTACTGTCAAGCTGTTATATTCCTATTATATATTTATTGTCCAACATTCCTAATTTTTCTGTCATTAATTTAATTTAATTTGTTGGTATTAATTCAGTTTTAATAATGCTAACACTTGAACTTAAAATATTTTCAACCGAAACTGACATGGTTTCTAGAGAGCAAAAGGTTTTGTGGAAAAAAAGGGAAGACTTTAAAATAAAATCTGTAAAATAAACTGTTAAAAGGATTTGATGATCACTAGTCTAGTGATTGTATGATATTGTTGTCATTGTTCAGGCTGTATTTCAGCTTTAATGTGCGGTTTTTTAAACAAAGCAGTTGATATTTGCCATAGCAGCAGCTAGAAGCTAGTGGACTGCCGAGTCGCTTTCACCCCAAAATGGCAGAAGTGCAGGGCTGCTGTTGCAATTGGAATGTTCTACTGAGTTTCACCTCTTGGTCTTCTATACTCTTTGGTATAGGTCCTAGTATGCCATAATATACCTGAAATCCCATAATATACCTGAAACATTGTCACCATACTTACAGTGAATTTCTATCAACCACTGATGTGTGTTTTTTTTTGCCATATATTGAACAGAATATTTAGTTATTTTATTTCTTTTTAAGTTCAGTGGTCAGATGTCTTACTGTCCATTTTAAAGGCTGTAGGCTGGCATAAATGCTGTTATGTACAGTAGAAAGCCTTTATTAGATGCCTTGTTTTGGCCAAATGTAAAGGCAGCATCACATGCATCTGCTGATAAAGCAATCACTCATCACATGAGCACTTCATGTGACAAGGACTATTTGTGTAGCAGTGTGAGTGACTGTTAACTGTGTTGCTGCCTATGACGATTGAGGATGTTGCCTTATAAGGCAGTTGTCTATGTAGACCGTGAAGCAGCTCTCTACGATGTGAACTTGAACTCACATTTTTTTTACTTTTAATTTACACATCCCCCTTTTTTACATTAAGTTGCAACTTTACATAAATGATTATATAAAACTAAAATATAACCTCCTTCTCAATGATACAATGTAATTTGTACAGTGTCAATTCGAACATGTATTGTCTTACCACTTTTTGTGCATTTCTTTTGTAGAATGTTGGATCAGCGTATGCTATTTCTTCTCCACGGGTCTGATCTGTTTAAAAAATAATGACAGATGTTAAAAGAAACATTTATTATGGATATTTTAGCAGTATGTTACACTTGCCCTCTTTTTCTGCTCTACTTTTTTTCCTGCAGATCCAGAAGATCACAACTGCTGCTCCAATCAACAGAAATCCAGCAGCAGCAGTAGCAGCAGAGATCAGCACAATCAGAGAGTCTGGAGAATGAGAAGCAGTTTGTGGGCCTGATGCTGTAACAACTAAGGAGAGACAATCTGTCAGTCTGATCTTAGTCTCAGATCCCCGCAGTCAGTTCAATGACCTTCTGAGACTAGTCTGACCAGCATGGGGCTCTTTAACATGTTTATGCCTTAAATGAGTTTGTTCAGAAAGTGTTTTTTAGCAGAGAAAAACAGGTAAAATAACTGGCCTTATTATGTAACAACACATAACTCTGTTAATTTCTTGTTTATTAAATTGTTGTGTTGTATAAAAGCAATATCACCCACACAACTGTGCTGTTGATCTGAACATCAGTGTCATTACCTGCAGCACTTTCAGATGAAGGATTTTGTGGAGTGATGGTAGGAGTGGACGGACGAACTGGAAAATATTAGAGAACCACAGAGATATGAATAAATCAACAGAATGGAAGAGGGCTGCTCTATTTGTCAGTCTTGTTAAGTTTTGGATGAGTGTTTGTCATTTAATGTGAGATTATTGTCAGTCAATCACATCAGTCACATCATTTTCACTCCTAATAATGAATTAAAATAAAAAAATACTCACTCAGCCCATCAACTAGTGTCAATGAGGGATGAATGAAGCAACTCATCTTATGATCCTGTAGCTATATGAAGGCCATATAATGCATGTCTCTGGGGATTGTTTGTATGTTGTCATATCATTTAAGTAAACAAGGCCGCTGTATGAGTTCTCACGTAAGACCATGGCACAATTTAAAGACAATATCACATTCTGTGTATTGATATTTGTTTGTTCCTTCACCCCTTAAACGTGTCTTAAGTATTTTAATAATGTAATTTTAACATTGGCCTAAATATAGGCTACAATATGTTCAGTGAAGGGGGCTTGATAAGTCAGTCTCTCCTCACCTTATACTTTCATGAGCTCTGAAATTCACCAACAATTGGTTTTGCTGTACTTTTGCTAAACATCTGAACTTGGTAGAGTGCACACTATTGGGAATCTGTGTTGCATATTTGGCACATTTTTTATGTATTTGGCACATTTTTAACTGCATAATGATGCAGTACTTTGTATAGTTATGAACTTTAACTTTTCAATAATGTAACCACACTTCAAATAGTGCTTTTCACAATTTTGCATGGTTGCAAAGCAGCTTTACACGCATATGTGACCCTGGACCAAAAAAACTGTCTTAAAGGGTTAGTTCACCCAAAAATTTAAATTAGACTGTGTTTTACTTACCCTCAAAGCATCCTAGGTGTATATGACTTTCTTCTTTCAGACGAATCCAGTCGGAGTTATATAAAAAATTGTAGTCATTGGAAAGTCTATGGAAAGTGATCATTGCAGTCAGCGAGTGTTGCAGTTGAACAGTCCACAAGTCGTCAAATAAAGCGTGCGCATCCATAACAAAATGTGCCTCACACGGCTCCGAGGGGTGAATAAAGGCCTCCTGTAGTGAATGCATGCGTTTTTGTAAGAAAAAAATCCATATTTCAAACGTAATAAACACTTTTCTCTCACTTCCGGTATCTGTCATATGCGGAAGGCGTTCTGGCGGATGTCTCGCGAGTTTGTTTATAGGAGCAAAGGAAGCAAAGTTTCCTTACTTTAGCAAAGGAAAACCAGTCTCCTCTTTGTTTATATCGAAATCCTCCAACATTTTTCTTTGCAAATCCTCAGTTTGTACTTCTAATTCGTGACCGGCATTTTGTTTTGTTCTCTCTCCGCATTCGTCACTAATCACACAATGGCGACGTACTACATCATCCGCTGGAACGCCTTCCGCAGATTCCAGATATAGGAAATGAGAGAAAAGTGTTTATTACGTTTGACATATGGATATTTTTCTTATAAAAACGCATGGATTCACTACAGGGGGCATTTATTCACACCCCAGAGCCATGTGAGGCACGTTTTATTATGGATGCGCGCGCTTTATTTGACAACTTGTGGACTGTTCAACTGCAACACCCTCTGACTGCAATGATAGAGCTTGGAATAGCGAGGACAATTTTTAATATAACTCTGACTGGATTCGTCTGAAAGAAGAAAGTCATATACACCTAGGATGCCTCGAGGGTGAGGCATCCTAGGTGTAATACAATGTAAAATACATTGTATGGGTCAAAATTGTTGATTTTTCTTTTATGCAAAAAATCATTAAGTAATTAAGTAAAGTTAATAAGTAAGATATTAAGTAAAGATCATGTTCCATAAAGATATTTTGTAAATTTCCTATGAATATATGAATATTTTTTTTGCAAAAACAGATAACTCTGGTTTTTAATTTTTATTTTCAGAAATCATGTTTTTTATAATGTTATAATGTTTTTATTGTGTTAGTTAGCTGTTTTTTAGTAATTTTTTAACCTAGTCAAATTAACCAAACTGCAGTTTGATTGAGATTATTTGGAATGCACAATGAAAAAAACATGATTTCTGAGAATTGTTAATTCTTATCTTAACAATTCTATCGAATTGTTATCTGTTTTTGCAAATGAACTCTTCATATATAAACTTAATTTTGATTAGTAATATGCATTGCTAAGAACTTCATTTGGACAACTTTAAAGGCGATTTTCTCAATATTTTGATTTTTTGCAACCTCAGATTCCAGATTTTCAAATAGTTGTATCTCAGCCAAATATTGTCCTATCCTAACAAACCATACATCAATGGAAAGATTATTTATTCATTCAATTCTCAATGTCAAAAATCAACCCTTATGACTGGTTTTGTGGTCCAAGGTCACATACAGAAAGTAGTTACTAAAGTAAAGATATATAAACAACATATATTTATGGATTTGAAATGGTGAAAGAAATTCATGAACTTGATCAGAAGGTTTATTACTTTAGTATATTCCCCAACACACTCCAATGCACCTGTACCAACACACTTTTTTCCATTAATGGTTCTTTAATGTCCCATATGGACAACAACAACATTGCACTTGGAAATGTGGACTGCAGTCCTTTGCTGTCAAAATATTATGAATTATTAAACAAATTGTTAAAATTATTCTGACAGCCCTCAAAACATTTGTGCAGTGCATTGAGAGTTGAAGCGTGCAGAGACAATGGGCAGAGATGTTACGGATGGGTTTATTCCTTTCACAGGCACTGAAACATAAGCAGTTCTGTATACGCTCACATTCTTCCACAAACGAACGGAACTGCCTGTGTTTTAGTGCATGTACAAGAATAAAACTAATGTAATGCCGACTTCACTTATACAAAAGAAGTTTATTCAAGTGTGCTATTAGTATTTCTTTTAAACTAAAAATAGGAAAGTATACTTTTAGTCTTCTTTTTATGTACTTCTCAGAAATGGGCTTTATGTACTTCTCAGAAATATACTTAAAATGTAATTTAAGTATACTTGACTTATACTTAGAAAAAGTCTAAATATATTTGAGCTATAGCCTACTTGTGCTCCTAGAATCCGTGTTTTCATTGTTATCCGGTAGGGGACGCTAGTACACATTTTCTTTACAGAATTTCCCAAAAAAACACAAGTGAAGAAGAAACCGAAACAACCGAAACAACTTCCACATGTAATCTAACATGATCATCAGACATAAAACAGCATCAAAACTGTGTAACGTTATGGAATAAAATGTCGCCAATGAAGAGGTTATACTGACTGTCAAGCTTTGGGGTGTTGATTGACTCCATCTACGTTTTGATTATCATTCTGAATCCAATTCATATTCTTTTTTCAGCTTTTTGTTCAAAATGTTGTTTATTTCTTTATTTTTTATTTATGAAACTTACCCACATTCAACTGTTTAAAAAAATACTGCATGAAGCTAGAATAAAATGTTTTTGTTTATAAGCAGATACCCTGTTCTTTCTTTTGATGTTTTGTATGTTCAGATATTCATATAACAAAATATATACAAATTAATACCTAAATAGGGACATAATAGTATACTTAAAGTATGATGTAAAGTTCACTTTAAAAAACTTACGAGTATACTTTCAGTATAAAACTAGTAAACTAGAGACTATACTTCAAAGTGAACTAAAATTATACTACAAGTATTTAATTAGTAAACTATCAGTATACCTATAAGTTCACTTTCAGTATAGTTGCAGTACAAGCTAAAAACATTGATGTAAACTAGTTGTGTACTCAGTTTACTACTGTTATACTTAAAGTATACTTAAAAGTATACTTTTATATACGAGAAAGTGGGCCAATTTATTTTATAACATCAGAAATATCTTCCAAATATAATCATTTATTTTCTGCATGTTGGAGAAGCTGTGGTGAACTTAAAGACAAAATGGGAAATTTAATTAGATAATAAAATAACAGAATGAGATTGGAAACAAAGTTTAAAAGAAAATGTAAGAACTACGCAATCTCCATATTGGCAAGAGTATGGTTGGAAAATCAATATGCGATATTTTATAACACCAGAAATATCTTCCAAATATAATTCCAAAAGCATGTTGGAGAAGCTGTGGTGAACTTAAAGCCCATTATACTCATATATTTTATACTTAAATATATATAAAAAATTTGGACAGAAGTAATTCAGGTAATGGAAGAATTTTTTAAGAAATCAAATATAATAAAGGTACAAAATATAGTTTTGGGAATAGGACCTACGCTACTTAGTAAAGATTAGTTATATTTATTTAGAATACTAAGAATTACAGCTTTTAAAACAATAACAAAATTTTGGAGAAGGCAAGAATCCCCAGTTTTAAATGATTGGTTAGATTTACTATCTAAAGTACACTCTATGGAGAGGATAACATATGAAATTAAGAGTAAAAGTATAAATTTTGAAAAGACATGGGCACCTTTAAAATCAAAGTATACATTATAAAATAAAGAAATACATATACTAATTACCTTTATATAATTCTACCTCCCTTTTGATTTATTAATTTATCATTTGTATTTATTTAATTAATATTATACTTAATAAGTCTTAAATAATATTATTTTAATTACTTATTAGGAATTAGGTGTCATTATAAGAGTTTGATATAAATATATGGATGTTATTTTTCTCTCTCTCTCTACTTTTTCATATGAAAAAGTGTATTGGTTATTGTTCTAATTATTATTATTTAATTCTTATTATTATTACTTTTTTTTCTTTATGCATTGGTGATGGTATTATCACAAAAGAAAAAAGAGATCACAAGAGATATTAGAAGGAAAAATGAGGAATAATAATTGGTAAAAAAATATGATGTCTTTAAAGAAAATGTTAATTTGTATAACTGTATTAAATGTGCTTGAACTGAAAGACATAATAAAGTATAAAAAAAGAGAAAGTTTTTTTTTATTCGATTTTTTTTACTATATAAAATCTGACACAATCCAGAAAAGATGCATACCTAAACAAATGGCTGATACTGCAGAATGTCCCCCAATGCACAAAAAACTCACATACCCACACACACAGGCACACACACACATACACACACACACACACAAATACTCACATGGCACACACACTCCCATTGAAACACATTATTGCATTTATGATGTTTCTGCTGGGAAATGACTGTCATTTAGAATAGTTTTTTTCTTAACCCAGTTAAATTTGAGTGATGGGGTGGAGACCAATGAGTTTATATCCTATTTATATTTTTAAATGTATCTTTTATATTTATTACACATTTATGAATCTGTATGTATATGCATGTGTTTGGATTCAAATTCAGTATCCATTTCTTTTCTTTTTTTCTTTACAAAATATAGTTTTTTTAATGTTTTGATATATATCTGAAAGTCTTGAGATATATCTGAAAGCTTAATGAAGCTTCAAGTTGGTGTAGTTTTAAATATTTCACTTGTTTGTCTCATTTAAGGATCTCCATAGGATTCAATAGGCACCTCTAGTAGCGGTAATCATAAAATGCAATTTTATGTCATTTTTCCACACCAGATGGCATCAGTGTTTAGTGACATAGGTCCTGATGGATGATCATGTTTAAAGTATAAATATGCAGAAATTGTGTTTTTCTTTGTTTTGTTCTTTTTGGTGAAAAAATGTATAAAAATATGCACATTTTCATAAAAATATCCAGAATTGAATGTGAATAAAATAAAAATCTACATTAAAAAAAAATTTTTTTTAATGAAAATTGACCAATATAAGCTTTCTGGACCAAAAAATAAAATTTGTGTCATTTTTGGCCTTCGGGTAATTTTGACCCACGAGGGACACTTTTGTTATAGGTTCTGGAGGGACGGATGAGGGTTTTAATGCTGTGTCCACTGACTTTAACAGCTTCAAGTTTAACGCACTTTCGTGTTCTATACAGGCCATTTCATGTTTATTTCCATGCAACGCTTACTGTGCCTATATTAAGACTTTTCGGAGATTCGCAGTCTTTAAGTCCTTTTAATTTGTGCTGTCATTGATGAAAAAAAGTGTTTACTTATAGTAGTATTTGTAACAGTATAGAAAGACTACAAAGTAACCGCAGTTTATCACCGAATCCAGTCGAATCCAGTCTACAGTGTTTCCTTCAACCAATGTTCAAATGTGTGCATGTCCACTGATGTTTTCTGGATAATTGAGTTGGCTGGTATTCTGGGGGTGTTAGTAAGCTGTGCCATTATTTATAAAGATTAATTTATTGCATTAGAAACACACAACAATTGTGCCATTAGCACACTTTAAGTTTACTTTGATTGCCATTGCAATGCATTTTAAAGTCACTAAAAGTAAGGGATAGTATGACCTCAGTTTGTTATTAGTATAATATTAATGTATGTTCAACACTCACACGAATAGAGCGTCTGGCGCGAATGATTTCAATGTTAAGTCAATGTAAAGACGCGTTTACGCGCGTCTGGAGGTCTCGCGGCGCGAATGAGGCGTTTAGCGCGGCGCGGAAGACGCGAATTCGCCTCATTCGCGCGTCTAGTTCGCGCGAATTACGCGAATTGAGCGTTTCGCGCGTTACGCGCGAATGGTGCTTTTTGTGCATTTACGCGTTTGACGCGAATTCGCGTCTGACGCCCGAGTTGAAAAAATTTAACTTTGGCGTCAATTCGCGCCGCGTTAACCAATCAGGAGCCTGCTTGCTGCTGTGGCGGCAGGCCCGCCCGGAGTCACTCATTCTAAATGGAGGAACGACTGATATTATCAGTGAGCAGTCACCCAGAGATTTATGACACAAGTTCATATTTCTATAGAGAC